GGTACATTTTCTTCGTTGTGCCCACTCCATCTTTGTTTCACAACTCAAACCGTTAATAAAGCCATCCTAACTCGAAGACCATAGCTGTTATATGTGTATGTGATCCTTGACCGAGAACTGGATTGTGAGTGTCTTTAGAGACGTCCAACATTTCTGCTCTGATGCGCCTCTACTTCCTATACGCATACACGCCACGACACTACAATGACGGAAAAACGTTATAGGAGAGAGAAAAGCGCGTACAAGAGGGCGAATAATAGAGAACTAATGATAGATATACATTGTCTGTCTGTCGGAAATCGCAACTTTTGTAGAAGAATAGATCACGATCGTGGCTTCCCACAATTGCGCCAATGCACCTTTTACTACTCCTGGCGGCGGTCTGTAGCTCGTTCTCACCGTTTTCTTGCAACACAAGGGTTGTCGAACCTTCCGCCAGTCGCATCCATTCAAATGCGGTTGTTAGGCCTTGGCCTGGTTAAAAGGACATAGTCCAGGCCAATGGGTCTGAACATTTCATTCGGTGCCGCTGTTGTAAGGGAACATAGCGTACAGTGTCATATCCCAACTATGAATGGATCCCGTTCTGTTTTGCTATTGAGGTTATTCCTGTCCGCTGCTGATGCCGCTCGTGCTACGCACTAGTTCGAACGGTCCTTTGCATCTCCCTTTGCTATTTGATATAGGCTGAGGAGCAGTTTACATCGAGTTCTGCTACGTTCTTCATAACCATCCACCCGAACTTTAGCTATACAGGCAGCTACAGTACAGAGTACCCGACATTGCTTGCACAGTTATGTGCTACGGGTGCTCTTGTACCACAGGAGCCACTTAACGCTTATAGCCGCTTCACTATTGCCACGACGGTGGTTGCCATCACCACAGTGGCCGCTGTCTGGCCGTTAGCGCGCAGGTCTGTAGTTCCGCTCCTCATCACAGCGTACGGCGGCTGGATGCTAGTTTACAGGCGATGCAGCCCCCAAGCAGCTGTGTCAGCAACCCTGTCTGCAATCTCCGTCCCTTCACCGCTATGTAGCTAGTTCTTTTCCAGCGAGCACAGCTAACGCAACTACTCGAGCCCTTTGTACGAGTAAGCCCTTTTTCCTATGCGCTAGCCGAGATGCACATGTAATCCCGTCGACTGCCCAACCTTTTCCCTAGGCTTCCGTCAGCCTCATAACTCCTCCGCCCGCGCACGCTAACAGAAACATCTACATATATACGCATGCTCACCTACTTATATATACCGTTATGAGGGATAAAAGAGCAAGAGTAAGTACTGGAGACTAACGCAATGAGGTGGAAAGATGACGTCGAAAACAACGAGAAGCTCTACGAAAAGCACTTGTACTCGTCGTGCGATGACGACAACGACGATAAGCTATAACACGAGCGACCTCTTCCTTCAACCAAACCAGTGGCAGGAGCAGTGGCGCAACCTCCCACCAGGCTCCTAGTCCTCTAGGCGCACGCGAGCGCACATATTTACACCGTCCCTCTTTGCCCTTCTATTACAGCCACAACCCCATCTTTTCCGTAGAGGATAGTGCCCACAATACAAGTAGTAGCGGCAATGCAGAGCCAGTAATCGTAGTAGTAGCAGCGGCGTGGAACCGCTATTGCCGCATCAAGTGCGGCTGCCTGTTTAGAGGGTCGTTCTGAGCGGGGCCGTGGCCAGGCGGAACGCAAGCATCGGCCTAAGCAAAGCCAGACCTCCCTCTGCGACGCTCTACTAACAAGGGCAATAGCCGCTGCCTCCTTTGTAAAAGCGGTGTGCCTGCTTTGCCCTCTTCGTACTCCTGTCTTCCCGCCGATTATTTCGGAAATTGCGCAAACGCCTGCAGATACTACTACTACTACTACTACTACTACTAGTACTACTACTACTACTAGTATTACTACTACTACTGCTACTAGTACTAGTACTAGTACTACTACTATTACTACTACTCCTGCTGCTGCTGCTGCTGCTGCTGCTGCTGCTGCTGATGCTGATGCTGATGCTGCTGCTGCTGCTGCTGCTGATGCTGATGCTGCTGCTATTGTTGTTAGTGAATTGCGCTTTGAGACCCATCGCGCCAGCGGGTGGCGTCGGCATTATTGCTACCATTATTGTTGCTACTGCTGCTGCCAGCGCTGTCGTTTTTACTATTTCATAGAAATAGCGTGGAATTGGGAGGACAATACAGCCCAGTTCACCTTACTAGCCAGACATCCCTGATTTTCCCGCAGCATAGCATATTTCAGGCGCGTATTAATAGGGATAGATGCCCCCGTTTGGTACAGCGCATAGCAAGAACTGCACGAACGCACACCTCGCTACTGCTTACGATCCTCCTCAGCGTTTAGAATCCTTTCTCCTTGGACCTTTCGTAGATCGCCGAAGTCGCCTCTGTTGCTGCTGCTGCACTGTTGACCCATTTTCTTTTTCGCTAACCTTGGTGGCAACCCGTGTTCGCCATGGAACCCACCAGGAAACAGCCGACGCAGCTCATTTACTGGGGCTTGTATATTCATTAGTTCGTATGAGTTATGCGCCAGTAAGACAGAATCGAGACGGTAGCAGGCATTAAGAGCTAACCGTATTAGAATGGCTGTCTATCTAATCAACAACAAACAGTTGACGCCAATGCACAAACTGGCATTTTATACCTCTAAATCGTTGCAATCGCAAACTAAAGAGACTCGCCTCATAGGGGCAGACTGGACGTCGTGATTGTGGAGCTGGTGTTTAGGAGGTGAGTGCACCGTCAAGAAAAAGCCGCAGAGTAGATGTAAGTATGATTGCGGGACACACGAAACGTTATTATCCTTGTTGCTATCAGTATGAGTATATGAACGTGTCGTCTGGGTATTTCTTAGCGTCATACATATACATGTATTTAATTTAAGTACCACGTCAAGACCACACCCACTCAACTAGGCGGCGTCACAGCCCATTTATACCCGCGATGACGACGGCAACGACGATAAACGCAAAATTAATATAGAAGCTGTCTGAAAATTCTTCATCTTTTCTACATGTTGCTCGTAGAAAGCCCGCACACTGTATGAAAGTGCAAATGATTCTTGTTAATTAGAAATGTGTAATCATATTCAGAAAATTGAAATTTCCTGGTTAAAAAATGCAACTGTTTTACCTATAACTGGCAGTAAGATCATCAATGTAGCTCACAAAAGAAGTACCACTTAAAATTGCCGACATGACAAACTTACACAATAACACAATGTATGAGGCAAAAAAAACTTGAGTTGAAAACTATAATCGTCGTATGAGCAAGCGCCTACCGAGGTGGTTCCTTTGCTCTGTCCACAGCTTTCACAAATATATCATGTCGACACTGAACGAACATTATACTCGACAATAAGCAGCTTCAAAAATAATCGCCTACTCAATTTGTATTTTGAATACAACCGTAATTCGGTATTGCAGTCACTGGCTGCGATGGACGAGAAGCATTGGCCGGAAAAATAGTCCGCCTTATTTGTCCATGTGGGAAAAGATGTGTGAGTGTTGTATGGATATAGAGAGGCATGGAGTCGTGCGAGGTCAGGAGACCTAAGAGAATGGCACAAGAACGTCAAGGGAATCTCGTCACGGGCTTGCCGGCTGACTGGCGCGACTCTTCGACGACGTGATTGCTGTGGGCGGACTCCATTACAACGAGAGAAGCGATAGTCACCGACGATAGAAGAAGACAACAACGATGACGACAACAGCCACGACGACGCCATGCGGAAGAAGGAAGTTAGGCCATGATAAGGACAGGAGCACGATATCGTCATTGCTGTCCCTTTTAGCTAACCACAGCGACTATGACAGTGGAGAACAAGTGGAAAAAGAAGCAAGACAGAAGTGGGTATGGCTGCTGATGCTAGCTTGGAAAGAGCGAACGGATAGTGGAAAGAATGGCGTCCGAAACGCGATGATACCACGCCATAGGGTTGATAGAAGAAAAGAAGAGAGCGCGAAAGTGAGAGGGAGAAAGATGGACTCTTGCTGACTTTGTATGCGTTCGTGTCGTTGCCTACGCCCCTTCAAGTGCTTACGTGTAGACAGATCTGATGATGACATATATAGATGTGATTTAGCTGGGCAAACGCTGCCGCGCGTAAATAGTAAGTAGTACCATCTTCATCACGAACAGTACACACTTGAGTACACAGTGATTGATTCTCAAAAGACTAAAGGGAATGGGGTAACGTTCATTGTAGCAATAATGAACGTTTTTGTAGCAGGCAGGTCTATGGCAAAACATGGTATCTTTGCAGTAGCAAAACGACAAAATAAGGCCACTAGATACTACGCCTACTCACTGTAATAATGAATTTTCACAAAACTACATATATGCCCAAGTATCGTTCTCCAGAATAAGGCTCGGCTTGTCTGCTAAAGCACTTTCGCTGGCCGGTAACCCCTTATTAAGGTCAAGAGGCACGCTGCTGCTGCTGCTGCTGCTGCCACTGTCTCCATCAACAGACGTCGGGAAATCTTCTCCAAAAGTATGAACACACAGAGCTTAATGTCACGTAAAAGAGACTCAGAATCGTCACTGCATATGCTGTTTAACGTTATTTAGAACAATATTCGCATGAAAACGTCTAGAAGTGTAGCCCCGTATGTATTAGCCCTATGCGTAAGCCAGCCTCCTTCGGACGTTCCATTGCACACGGTACACATTTCCAAAACTGTATAGCTATTTAACCATAATGAACCTTTCTCTTTATATACGCCATCGTCATACTTACAAACTATGCAACGTTCATGCAGCTAGTGGCGACTTTTGTTCTACGTATACTTTACTGTTAACAACCTGAGACTGTTAATAAAATTTCATAGATAACCCAGAATGCTAAGCATGCATTGCGTGACCTGGGCCAACGGCGATCAGCACTTACATTAATTTGCATTAATTACTGATTGGTAATTTATTCCGGTTTCAGAAGCACTACTTCCTGTGAAACCAGGCTGACTTCACTTACGGGTCAGGAGTTCTTACCGTTTGGAGTATAATAGTATGGAGCATGTCGCGCTTGTTCGTAGTGGGGACTATTGTCCGGTGAGCAAGCGCCCACATACTGCGTTGAGCCAGCTCTGCCTCCGGGGCCCATAGGGCCCCCCATCGTGAGGTTTCTAGGTGGCGCTGGAGGTCCGTCTGGAATTCCGAAAACGGTAACAAGAAAAACGCAACTTAACTATAATATACGTGAGCTTGTTCTATATAGTAATTTTTTTTTTATCAGGTAGCCTGATAACATGAACAGCCAAAGAACACCCTTCCGTTGGTTAGCTAGTGTTGATCGGTACGTACACTCAGATCTGTATTTTAACCATTCTGATTTCCTTGCTTTACGGCTTGATGAAATTCCAGTTTACAATTAGGTAAAGCTAGTATTATAGTATAGAGTTAATGTAACTTATTAATGAAATCTTAGCGGACAACGGGCGGCTAAGTACCATACATTGGTGATCGACATTCTTCTCGGTTCTATTTGAACAAATATAAAATGCCATTGTACATCTATGACCGTTACGAATGAAAAGAATAGAAAAACCTTCTGTATACGAAATAGATGATATAAGGTGCGCACCGATAGAAAATAATTTATTTAGATTAATAAATAATCCGGGTAAATTATTCCCAGCCCACGGTAGTGAACAAGGAGAGCCGTCCTTATATGCAGTGTGTTTTGTTCTATCCTAACGTATCCTATCGTATACAACACCGATCAGGTGACTGCGCCGGTATCTTCGATTGCTTCATTATACCTTATGGTCACCGTAACCAAATTTACGTTTAGGATCGGCTAAGCGGTGGGCAGTCAGTCTATCTGTTGGCTGCTCTTTACTGATGTCTATTTTTGATTTTGCAAAAACCCATTTTGTGTTTAAAAATAGAAGCTTCTAGAAACAATACATCATCATATCGATGCGAACCATAAACACAACATTAGGTCCTGTCGAGAAAAAGGATCGAGTCTATTGTTATATGGATTATAACAAATAATCAAGGTGTTCGTCATAGTGGTATTTTGGATGATAGCTAGCTATTGTACCTTGCAGAGTAAAATTTAGACTGGTATTTGACCGTTTTCAAAGTGCGAAAAACTAATGGAAGATTTAAAATTTTGTGTAGTTATAATTTTCTTGCATTGCAGAAACTGCAAAGCGTCTTTTGCGCCCATTTACTAATGCTTTCAATATATATATATATATATATATATATATTGCAACATAAAATACTAAACGTATAATATAGATTTAGTAAGTTACCTCAGGTTAATATGATTCATTCTAGATGAGCATACGTTGTCTGGAAGAAATTTGAACGCAAGATATATAGACGCGCAGTCTGGAACTTATCGAGACCCAGCCTAAGTCACCGGTACTCAAATGTATTATGGCTTAAATCGGAGGTTAAGAGCTACTGTGAACAGTGGTCGCGAGTTAACAAAATAGACTTCATAATATCATCGATTCATTGAATGGGGCACTCGCACTAAGCTACGAGGCTGAAGTTCACAGTCTGGGAGCTAGCCACTCTACAGCGTGGAGTGTTACAAAGCGGGTTAATCCACTATCTCCTTTGCTCACCTCGAAAGAAATTGTCTATTGAGAAGAAGGCATTGTTTCGAATATATATATGGGCTCGTCCGTATTGCGGTTGTGACTGAGAGCATGTCTCATTGCAAAGGTATACACACAGCATGGTAAACGCAATAAATATATATATTCGTCGAAAAATACACAATCAATCACATTAGGCGATAGGCTAGTCAGTGGCCGTAGTGGCAGCTGTGGTTGCGGCATGCCACGCGACTTATCGGCCAGTGCCGCACCAGTGTCTCTGTGTGGGCGCGATAGCCATGTGCTTGTAGGATGAAGGAGCTGTGGTGTCATACATAATGTATACTGGCACACCGCAGAGAGTAAGGCCCACTGTGCAGAATGCTATTACCCTCTATTCTAAACTACTATAACAACCGCCACCTCGACCGGCAATAGACCAAATGAAGTCAAGCGACCTACGGAAGAATGGTATACGTATAGCCTATACAGCCCTCTCTATCTACGACACAGGCTACATGCATTTCATGGTCTGCTCGGCCTCGGTGGCTGCAAGCGTTGCGTGGTTCGTCTAAGGGTTGCTTGGTCGGCGCCCAAAGCGCCCATACACCACTACCGGGTCAACCTACGAAACCCTACGGACACAACAACCTACCTACCGACCGACCGGCCCACGCAGTACATCCGCTCATTCCTGGCCAGTTATCTCTTTAACGCGCAAGCAGCGGTACCTAAGGCGACGATACAAGCGGCATGTGAAGAATCCGGCTGACGGGTCGACTACCTGCTCGCCTGCCATGCTGAAGGACACCATGTTTGAACGACAGGTTCAAATATGGTGCCACTCTTCGTATTCCGTCCGAGAATATGGCTGGTTTTCGTCTCGCGTATCGATATGGCCCACATCATAAGCAAACATTGCCACGAAGTTTATTCGAGTTTTTGCTGAGAATGAATAGTGACAAACTATAATGGCGGCGCTTATATCGTCTTCGTTCGATGTTCATCCACATGGAAGAGTTACCCACTAACTCCTTCCCTGAACTTCCCCGTAACCACTGGCATGGCAACTTGCTCAGTCTTATCTCAACGAACGCCCGAATGGCTCTGCAAAGCGATTTTATACATTCGTAGTATTTATGGCATCAGTTGTATGAACTGAGAATGTGTGTATGTATCGGGGGGTACGGCCCGCCCACGATCGCAAGCGCAGATACGATCTGGCATGAACCAAGGGGGAAGTTAATTATCTTGATGTAAAGCATCGTTATAACAAATGTTGCACACAACAGTCAGTCAATCAGTTAAGACGACCTCAACGACCGGATATTAACAGCGCTGGCCAGATAGATTAACCGGTTAGACAAAAATGAAGTCGTTTATTACCTCAACCGGTTATGTACACTGTACACCGAATCTACAGATCTGCGGTAATCTATAATAAATCAAAATTCTTTGCAACAAATCAGACCTGAAAGTCTATGCCATAATAACCCAGACTTATATGCATTACATGCGTTAACAAAACAATAGTTATTAAGATCTAAATTATACAGACGCTCCGTCGGATAATATTCAGACCTTCGTATCTGCTTTGAGGATTTCGAGTGATGTAAATGTGTGAAGACACCTTTACATTTTATACTTTTAAGCGACAGCTTAAACAATAAAGAATTAGATTAACGATATACGACCGCATTTGTATCTATTGATTGTGTCTATCCCATATACGATAGATAATGAAATTATGGTAGATTGGTTGTTCATTGAGCAGATGCCTGTGATTCGAAGGGCAACGAAGTCGATAACTGCGTACTGCTTAATAACGGCGTCTTCTCTGGAAACTCTAATTTCGTATCGAAAACCCTAGAATAATTTTCCGTAGTGTAATTTTCCACAGCGCGTAGAACACATACCGTTGTAATTTTGTACGAATCTAATAATACAGTAGAAACGTAGATGGGGATTCTCACATGGACACAAAAAGTACAGGACAAGCTTTCGGATGTGGAGGACAGACTTTGTGCATTCACAGTAAACTGACACAAAGAGTGCTTTCCCTGCCGGACGGGAAATAATCCATTGTAGAGAACAAGTTCAACTTATATTCGTTTCGGTTAGTTGCTGCACACGTTCAGAGAGGCACGTTTACACACACATACACAACTATATAGTGCATCTGCAATGCCATTACAGAACCAGGATTTCTTTCTAGATCCGCTCGTTTGTCTGAACCGGTTTGAGCGTTGTTTGAGGCTGACTGGTTTGAAACCTTGCGGTGTTTTTGAGGGCTGAAGAGACAAGCTAAAATTTGAGCCGCGTAGCCTTCGACGCGTCTTGATCGAGTCACCGATTTCGACCCCAGAACCACCCGGCCCAAGTTGAACGCAACAGAGTGGCGGACGTTCAAGCGAACTTCAATTTTAGCTGATGCCCCAAAGATCGGCATCAGCAGCTAGCAGCGTGCGTGAGTCTTCGTATGAGAGCCCCCGTCCCACAGCGAATCAACCCTCGCCACAACCAAAGCAACCAAGCCTCAAGCCGACGTACTGCCTACATATACTTCCCGACCGCGAAACCCCCGAACCAAGCGGAGACAAGCCAGCCGGCTCATACTTTAGGTGCTATGCGGTACTAAAGATACTACTGAAGGCCTATTTTATTCGCTCTTTTTTGCTGTCGCTTTTTTCTTCATAAGCTCTTCGATTCTGTTTACGGACATATGCTGCTCTGTGGTGGGGTATTGAAGATGCAAATACCCTCCGTACACCTCTCAATTTCTGCCTCGATTAGCCTATACGTTTATTGGTGCTACTGAATAAAGAAAAAAAAAACTTTTACAGTTAAAATCACTCCAGTTTCTTTGCACCTTGCGTTGCAGAACGTTGGGCCCATCTATCTATGTAATATTACTGCTGTTGTTGTTGTTGTTGTCGTCGTCATATCCCCTGTGGTTACTATAGATCTTGACCCGTTCAGCTGCAAGTTGGGCGAACCCACTGAAGGGCAGGTTCGTGTGTACGCTACCTATCGACTTGTCTATCTTTTTGGTTTGCGCAGGTGGTGGCAGAAAGGGTGACCCAATGCACAGGCGGAAGAGACTTAACCGCCATGTCTGCCTATCCACGTCGTATGTGCCACTGGTCGCTCGCTGCCCACAGCTTACCGCTGCCGCTCCCGTGGTAATACGATTATGCCAAACAACAGATAGCATCAACAACTGTAGCAGCAACGGAACAGCTGCCCTAGCCAAAGCTCCGGTGGCTGTAGTAGCAACAAGCCGGAAGACTCCGCTGGGGCCGTAGCAGGAAACCTATGAAGAAGCGGATAGAAGTCCATATAATAGTAAACAGCAAACGAAGATGAGACAATAACCACCCCAACGCTGCGCTGTTGTCGGGCTAGCGATGATCGCGGGTATATATACTCAGTCTGCAGCGTAGCAGCAGACATAAACAGCAAGGGCAACACCACTAAACTAGTCGTTGTTGTTCCTGCTGGCGCGTAAGTTTCTGTGTGCAGTGAGTGAATCTGGATCAATCCATGAGCTGGGTCGTATAGGCTTAGGTTGTCTATATTGGTACACGG